GTAAGGCCAACGACTGTGTCATCATAGTATCGTATTCGTGGGATTTGTTACCTATTACTTGTGGTGTGCCAGTAGGTCATAGGGCGTCTGTGAGGGGTTATGTAATGTTCTCTGGCGTCTTGAGAGACCCTTGGCGTTCTTCGTGGAATTCCGTTGTCTAGCGTTGCCTCGGGACATGTCCATCGTGCGATGTCATAAGGCTCTTCAGGTATGGTCTGCTGTCTACAGCTTTTGCCGAAGTATCTCAGCTTTGGTGTCCGTTATTTATGAGGAGTCTGTTATAGCGGGAAAGTTTGGTACTTAGGGTACTGCTGTGGCCTTATTTGGCATCATCTTGCTCCTATGTTACATAACAAGTTGCCAGTGTATCATTTTATACGTTATTTTTTATATAATTTTTATATCATTCTTATTACTTATGTTCATTAAAAATAGGTTTTTCATGCAGCTGAATGTCATTTATATAAAATACAAATACATAAACCATGATTCATGCACGACCATCTTGGATAACATGTGATTACGTTGCCAGAGCTCCATCACTCCGAAATATTCTTTATTTGGCGAATGAGAAAGACAAACACGGCAGAGACGCAATAGATGTCAAGTAGATGTCTCCGCAGCGTCGCCTCGCGCGGCCTCCACACGTGACCGAATTACTGTCGCGGGGAATGGGGGCTGGTGTCAGTTTCGCAGAATTATATTTATATGTTTTTCGCGCTGGGCTTCGGCGTTATTTTCAGGAACGATGGTGGACCGAACGAGGTTTTTTAGGATCGGGGGCGAGGCGGTGGGACAAGGAGCATGGGGTTTTGCGAGGGCGGAGGGTGGAAGTAGGTGAGAGGTTTCCTCGGCGCTGGATTCGCGTGCGAGTAATGGGACATACAAATGCACCCGCGACAAAATAGCGTGGAAAGAAAAGGCGGCGGTGACGTCAGAGATGGCGGAGGGGGTGGGGGGAGGGTAGGAGACGGAATGGGGAGGGGAGGGGAGGGGAGGGGATAGAGGATGGTGAGGAGAAGGGGGGGGGAATGAGAGGTCTCGAGAGGATCAGAAGTGTTGTTTTGGGGCGACAGGTTTAAGAAGCGCAAAAATGAACTCGGTTCGTGGGGGTCTCTGCGTGCTCTTTTCTGGTGCGAGGAAGGCAGGCAGGACTAGGACCGAGGGGTAAGAAACCAGGACCCATAGACTAGGGACTCGAGACCAAAAGCTAGGGATGTGGACCATAAACGTTCCAGACATCTCGGCCCAGGACCGAAAGACCAAAAGACTAAGAGCGGGGGACAATAGCCGATGGACGCAAAGGTCTTTCAGGATAGGTAATAAGAAAAAGACCAAGGGAACCAAGCACCTGTTTACCATCGATCCGCGGTGGGATGGCCAGACCCCTGGAGATTATGTGCGTGTGATGCTGCAGGATCCCCATGACCTTTGGGGAAAAAAGAAGGAAAAAAGTATGTTCACTGGAAAGGAAAGCCGGTCGTCCCGGATCTCTTGTAAGGGATAGATGAGAGAGAAGAGAGAGAGAGAGAGAGAGAGAGAGAGAGAGAGAGAGAAGAGAGAGAGAGAGAGAGAGAGAGAGAGAGAGAGAGAGAGAGAGAGAGAGAGAGAGAGAGAGAGAGAGAGAGAGAGAGAGAGAGAGAGAGAGAGAGAGAGACGTAAGATGGGCGGAAAAAGGAAGAAAGGAAGAAGAGGGGGGAGGAGGTAAAAGAGGTCACAGGAGGCGGCGTTGTAAAGTAACGTTCCCCGGGCTTTGCATTAGGCGCGATGTGACCAACTCATCTTTAGTAGCGAGAGCCCCTCCGGCTGGCTGCCTGGCTGGGCCGCCCACCCGCCCGCGCCCGCCGCCCGCTCTGCAGCCTCTTGCGAACCACACCTTCCCTCTTCCCTCTCCTGCGACGTGCCCTCTTGCGGGATAAGGGAGGCTTTGCGCAGGCCGGTGGAGGAGTGCATTTGACCTTTTTCCTCCGGTTTGATTTCCGATTTTCCTTTCAGTCATTCATGGCTCCTTCCTTCTTTTTCCATTCTCTACTGTCTTCAGTCGCTCTTTGAAGTTGATGTTTATATGGTTGGATCACGTCCGCTAATACATATGGCCATCCTACCTCCTCCTCCTCCTGCTCCTCTACCTACTACTCCTCCTCTCCTCTCCTCTCCTCTCCACCCGCTCCTCCTCCTCCTCCTCCTCCTTCCTCCTTCTCCACTCCTCCCCTCTCCTCCTCTCCTCTCCTCCACACCTCTTCTCCTCCTCCTCCTCCTCCTCCTCCTCCTCCTCCTTCTCCACCACCACATTTTCTTTTGAACTCCATTTCTTCCTCCTCTTCTTCTCCACTCCACCTCCACCTCCCTCTACTCTTCTACTCTTCCTCCCTCCTCCTCCTTCCTTCCTCCCTCCTCCCCTCCCTCCCTCTTCCTCTCCTCCTCTCTCCTCTCTCCCCTCCTCTCTCCTCCTCCCTCCTCACTTTTCCGTCTTCTCCTTAAATCGCCCACAATCTCTTAATACATTTGTCACCCCGGCTTCCCTTGTCCTCCCCCTCCTCCTCCTCCGGTTCTTGGGGCGGGAAAGAAAAAAGGAAAAAAAAACGCCGTAAAAAGAAATAACAAACGTGTAATCAGAGAGGGAGTAAAGAAAAAGCCGGGAGAGGGGAGAGTAAAAGGAGAAAGTACGAAACAAAAGAAGAGAGAATGGGGGAGGTAAAGATAATTGGTAGGATGGATGGAGAACATGGGAATAAGAGAATGGAAAAGGTATAGAGGAGCAGCGGTTACAGATAAGAAATAAGAATGATATCACGTGAGAAAATGCGGAATACTGTGATACGAACGGTGGTAAGGATAATGAAGATAGTTTTGTAAATGATAATGATAGTGATGGTGACGATAAAGATAGCGATAATGACGGTGATGATGATGATAATGGTAGTAATAATAATGGTAATGATAATGATGGTTGTAATAATGATGATAATGACGATAATAATAAAAGATGTTGATAATAAGGGTAATGGGGAGTAGGAAGGCAAGGAGGCGAACTCCCACTTGGTTCCTAAGCAAGATCAAAAGTTGCTGCTGGTATAGTCAGAGCACAAATATGAAATGTTTTCCTTCCCCCTTCCTCTGTTCTTGCCGCCTTTTCCCTCTTCCCTCTTCGTTCTTCTCCCCTTTCTCCTGTACCCTACTTCATCTCGTCTCCCCAACCCCTACCTTTCTCTTTTTCTTTCTCTATCTTTGTTTCTCCCTCTCTTCTCCTTCTCCTCCTCTCCTCCTCCTCTCTCTCTCTCCCTCTCCCTCTCCCTCTCCTCTCCTCTCCCTCTCCCTCCTCCCTCCCTCTCCCTCTCCTCTCCCTCTCCTCTCTCCTCTCCTCTCCCTCTCTCTCCCTCTCCCTCTCCCTCTCCCTCTCCCTCTCCTCTCCCTCTCTCTTCTCCTCTCTCTCTCTCTCTCTCTCTCTCTCTCTCTCTCTTCTCTCTCTCTCTCTCTCCTCTCTCTCTCTCTCTCTCTTTTCTCCTCCTTCCCTCCTCCCTCCTTCCCTCCTTCCTTCTCCTCCTCTCCTCCATTCCTTCCTTCCTCCCTCTTTCCCTCCCTCCCTCCTCTCCTCCCCTCCTTCCTTCCTTCGTCTCTCTCTCCCTCCTTCCTGTCTCCGCTCGGGATGAAATGTCGCGTCGCCTCCTTGCCGATTCTTGTTTTCTTAGGCTGGAGTTGCTCGTCCCAAGAAGTTTCCTGGGCGTCCCGGCTCGGCCCGCGCGCGCTCCCTCTTGGCCGCGTCCCAGCTCGTCCTTCGCCCCCTCTGCCTCCGCCGCCTTTTTGCTTTTCTTCGTTCTCCGGCGTGGTTCTCGGCTTCTTCGTCTTCTGCTCCTACTGCTGCGCCTTGTTTCTTCTTCTGCTGCTTCTATTTCGGTTTCCTTCTTCTTTTACGCCCTCTTTTATTTCTATTTCTTCTAATTATTCTTCTGTTGCTACCGCTTCTTGTTCTTCATGTTCTTCATCATCATCCTCATCCTCTTTTCTTTTTTCCTCCTCCTCCTCTTCCGCTGTCTCTATTTTTTATCGTTTCGTTTCTTCCGCCGGCTTTGGTATATGTTTTATAATTTAGTTATTTTTTATTTTATTTAAGCAGCATTCTTTTTTTCTTGCCGACGCCCCTCCCATTTTTTGGAGATTCTCGTCTCTTCTTTTTTTATCGTGTGTCATTTTTTTTTTTCTTTCTTTCTTTTTACCCCTTCTTGTCCCCCTTTTCAGATTGTTTTTCGTAAGATCGCTTCCTCGCATCTCCATTCCCGTCTTTATTGAATTTGCTTCTGTGAGCAGTTTGCATCGCAGCGCCACTTCATGTTCTCCAGCTGTCACCATCTGTCCTTCGTGGCAGTTTATAGTCTTTCTATTCTTGTTTCTGATTTTTATGCCTCTTCTTATATTTCTCCTTGTGTTCTCCTTCGTCGTGACCTTTCCCTTGTCCTTCTTTCTCCTTCTCTTTTTTTTCATCTCCTCACTTTTTTTACATCTCCATATCCATCCAACACCACCTCCGTTACCATTACCATCATTATCACCATTATCACTTTCACCATCATTATCACCATCACCTTCGCCATCATTTTCATTTTCATTATCATCATCATCATTTTCATCTTCACCTCACTGATAGTGGTGGTGATCTCTCTGCACCATCGCCATCACCACCATCCTCCTCTTCCACGTCTTCCTACTCCACCTTTTTCACCCCCCGCGCCTCATCCCACCTCCTTGACCTCCCTGGCCATCCAACTCTTGGTCTTTTTTCGCTCCCGGGAATAAGTCTTTCTCTCGATTACCTTCGTGTTAAAGTCTTTACGCTGCCTCCCTCTAATTTCTCGGCATCGACTTTTTTTTCTCTCCCTCTCTTTCTAACTCGTTTCGAGCCCTCCCTCCCATTTTTCTTTTCTTCTTCTCCTCCTCCTCCCCTTCTAATTCCTCCTCCTCTCCCCTCCTCCTTCTCCCTTTCCTTCTCCTTCTCCTTCTCTTCT